CCGAGCCGATGCGCGCGCTGGCGCGGCTGCTGGCAGCGGCAGGGCCCCACTTTCACAGCTCAGCGCTGCCGCCAGAGGTCGCGGCCGCCTTTCCTGAATGGGCGGCGCTGCTCCTCCCAAACGCATCACTCGGCGCGGCCCCATCTGCTTCCATCATGGGCAACAGCGGCAGCAGGGTCACGGGCCTCCTTGCCACGCCGCCTGCCAGGTTTCCGGGCAATTCGGCGCCGGTCGCAGGTCCCGGGGGCAGCGGGGACGGCGGCGGCGGCGCGTGGGACGCAGTTTCCGAGCAGCTCCTCACCGCTGACGGGGCGCAGCTGCAGGGATTTGCCAAGCCGCGCGCCCTCAACGCCAGCCTGACTGATTCCGTCGTCGGCCCCGCGCTGCTGCGCGCCGCGGGCCCCTGCGCTCAGATGCTCTGGGAGACGTGGCGGCGAGGCGCCGACGCGCTGCCTTCGCTGTGCGCGCCGGGCTTACCGCCGCCGGCGGCGGTCAACGTGGCGGCCGTGCGGTTCCCGGGGCGCGGGGCGCCGATGTGGGGGTGGGCGCGGGACCATTCCAAGTGGGGCGTCAGCAACGGCTTTGGGCCGGCATCGGCCGAAGGCCACCATGCGTGCCATGGGAGCAGCAGGGGCGTCGGCGACGGCGGCGGCGCTGGCGCGGCGGCGAGCAGGCGGCAGTACGACGCTTTCAAGGCGGTGTGTCTGTGCGACACAAATCGCGCCGCGTGGCAGGCGCACCGCGGCGGCGCGTGTGTCTGCCTGGCCGGGCGGCCGGACGTGTGGGCTGCGTTCAGGTCAATGATCGCGGCGGTCGAGCCTTGCGCGCCGCCTGACGTCGCCGCCAGCCCGGGGGGCGCTGCGCGCGACGGCCACGCAGGCCCCCGGCAAGCAGGCGGCGCCAGCGCGGGAGCTGGGACGGAATAGGGATTGGAGCGAGCGCTGCCGCGCCGCCTAGATGGCGGCGATACAGTGAATGGCGCAGACATCAACAGAAGACCTGCTAGTGCAGCGTATCGAACGTGGATTTGCCCGAATGTCATCATTGCGTTGCCACACGTTGTTTCAACAAAAGTTGAAGAGCGCAGCGCGTGGCAGTAGGCGACGCACCAAGCGCTTAACGCGGCGTTGTCGCCCTTCCGCAAGGGCCCTTGTAGACCCACGAGCGGGATGATTCGTTGCAGCCGGCGCGGCGTTTCTGTTGCTGCGTGTGTTGCTGGTTGGCTGCCATGTTTCATGGCCGTGTTGTTGCAGTAATGTGAAGGTTGAGGCAGTGGGCTTGCACACGGCCAATAAAGCAGTCATTGCAACCAAATGCAACCCCGGTGCCAGGTGATTTAACTAGACCGCACGACGCTCCTGCTGCTCGGGTGCTGCGAGGTGTTGCCCCCGACGCCACTTTCAGCTGCCGCGGCACGTCAACTACTGGGGGCGAGAGGTGTGTGCCGCAGTGCGCGCTGGCGAGGACGCAGCGGGTCGCCTTTCCAGATACTTGGCAGTGGTCAGAGAGCAGCAAATAAACGCGGAGCAGCCGGGCGTCTTTTGGGTGCTGTTTTTATTTCTGACATCATCATCATCAGCAGCAGCAGCAGCCGCACCGGTTGCAGCAAAAGCGACAGCAGCCGCAGCAGCAGTGGTAGCGGCGAAGTCAACAGCAGCAGCAAAGCAGCAGCTAGCCGCAGGAGCAGCACGCAGCAGACCTGCTTCCCTACCCACCCCCTGTAATAGCAACTCAAATCCACAGGGTGCACAACAAAATTTGCCCTCGACTATTACACGTCTGATTTGAGGTCTATGGCCAGTGTAAACTTGGCAAGGAGTTGCCGTTGTGGAAAAAAATCTTGCATCTTATTCTGAGAGGTAGCACGCTCCGTCGAGGCAAAGCTGATTGCAGCTCGCAGCGTGGGTAGCAAGGTAACGGGTGCCGGCTGGTGCGTCGTCACTCACAAGGCTGGCGCAGGGTAGGCGCGCCGGCCCCGGGCAGGGGGTTGGGTCAGGACAGCCGTCGGTGGCTGCACTTGTGTGCGCCATGGGCGTGCGCGCGCGGGTGCTCAATGTGAGATTGCTAGGGCACGCATGGAGGCGTGCATGCTGGCAAAGTGTGGGTTTACGTCCAAAAACACGTACTATTAGGCAAAGCAATCCCGCCGACGTGCAGATCCCAAGAAGTGAGGTATTCGTCTCATGTCATGCAACAAGCCCATCTACAACTGCCCTGGGGAAGACAAAGCGGCGGGCAAGGCCCCAGCCGCCTCGGACAGGCGTGCGGTTGAGGCGGCCGCGACATGGGCAGATTCGGCGCTGCCTGCCATTGACGCTCGGGCGTGGTGTGCAAGGAAGAGAGGCCGGCCGCGGCGTGCGCCGCGCGCCGCGGCGGCGCGCCTCTGTCTCAAAAGCATTCGCGTGGGGTTCAGCGCAGCGCCACCAAGACGTGAGGCGCGGGCCGCTGGCAGGCCGCCAGCATCCGCGCAACAGGAGCCAGCAGAAGACCTCTATTTGGGAGAGGCACCGGACCCGCTGAGGCATCAGAGGTGCCCCAAGGCACTGACCACAGAGGGTGATTAAATTGGGTGCAGGGCGTCTGGTAGGCACCCGTACACACCAACGGTTCACAGCAAGCCTTGTGCATGTGTGTATGTATATGATCAAAGCCTTCTCTCAGGAAGCAGACATCCGCACTGCTGGAAGCAATCGAGCACGTGCGCACGCACACATGACCGAGCCACGGCGGAACAGCCGGCAGGCATGTGCGAAACAGGGGTCGGGTGTGGGGTGATGCACATGTCTGAAGAACAAAAGCGCGGCGCGGCCATTGCAAATCGGGGCGCATGCGCCTATATACGCAGAGCAGACCAGCACACACTTGGGGCCTTCCTGCACACCTGCTTTGAACGGCGAGCGGTGGGCACTTGCATCCCAGTCACACAACGCTGATGCTGTAAAGTCACATTCCATGAGCCTGGATGGCTTCAGGGGTAGACAACCGTAGAATATTGCAACAATCCTATAAATTTCTCATCGTTCTATAGTGGACGGGCATATTAGAGGGTGTAGGTCAGCAGCTTCTGGTTGTTGACAAAGTCGGGCTCTGGAACGGCGCACTGCAAGGGGGGGCGTGG